CAAACAATGTTGTCTTTATATTAAAGAAAAAAAGAGATATACACAAAATAGTCACCAATGTTAAATTATACATATTATTACAGAATCTCTTTGTTGTCTAGTGCAAAATTTATTTCAACATTTTTTGTTGTCCATTTATTGTTTTTTTTTTAATTTTTTTTTCCTTCTTTCACTTTAATTTCCCAGCAAGTGACTGTCCATTGAGCGCAATATCTTTAAATTGCTGATACTGTGTATTACATTCTATACTGGACATTTTGACAGCTACAAGTGCATGAAAGCAACAAAATGATTATATGAAGGAAGAAAAGACACAAAGAAAAATCCATGTGAATGCCTCAGTGCATACTGATAATGAGATGTTTAGATGACATACAATTTTAAAGGGCTGACGCAGACACACACACACACACATGCGCGCGTGTGTGTGTGTGTGTGTGTGTGTGTGAAATGAAGATGGATGAGAATATAGGCACAGAGATATGAAGAGAGTGATATAGATATTAACATAGCTACTTGAATTTTCAATGTAGATACTGAAGGTATAGCAAATTATCAGTTAAGAGTGTGAGAAAAGAAATTGGCAAGCAAGCCAGATTGGATTCATGTCACGCTAATGCCATTGGAAAAGGTATGAAACCATTTCTTCACTTGGCTATGGGTTAAACCCAGCTATATACTCAAGATTTTGTTGACAAACAGCCTCTGAATTCAAAAAGTATGGAAAAAGCAGCAGAAAAACACTCCACTACCTTTCCCAAGAACAGTTATGGCACTGCACAGTTTTTGGGTACCAGTCTTAGAGAAGCATAACTCAGAAATGAACTATGGAGAAGGCAACAAGAAACTACTCAACTCTCTTTCTTAAGAAGAATCATGGTACTGCACAATTTTTGGCAAGAATTCTAAGAAACAGATAGTTCAGAACTCAAAATCCATGGAGAAGGCAGATGAAAATAACTCCACTATCTTTCTCATGAACTATCATGTCAATGCACAGTTTAGAGATATGAAGTAAAAGGAAGCATTGGAGAGCCATAACTGTCTTTTATCCTGTAGGAATTGGTAATTTTTAAAAGATATGTGAGAGAGCTCAGGGAATGAAATTGGCAAAAATTTTCTACTGAGGCTACTTACATTTTTTAGCAATCTTCTTCTATGTGACTTGTCCCTGGGTGATCTTGTCTCTTCACAACTTCCTATCCTTCAATGCCCTTAGCAGCATTTGTACCTTTGGCAAACCTCTGGGTCCTTGTTTTGCCATTCATTCATGATAGCTCGTACGGTAGAGGGTCCACTACGTACCCCTGTCTCTTGCTCTCAATATGCCCTGTGTGAGTTAATTTTTCCAAGCCTGCCTTCCTTATTATGTATCCAAGAAATTTCAACTCTCTCTTTCTGATACTGAATATAAATGTTCTTTTCGCTAGCATTTTCTTGAAGACTTCGCTATTGCTTACTCACTTCATTCACATAGTTCTCAGAATCCTTCTGCAGAAACACATTTCTGTTACCCCAACTTTCTCTTCATCCATGAGGAGATTGTCCAGCATTCACTACCATACAAGGGGATTGATATCACATAGTAATTCAACACTCTTTTCTTTGTTTCCAACAAAATTAAGATTTTCTGTTTCTAAAGCCCTTGAAAAAGTTACAAATTCACATCTGAGATCTTTCCCATGACTGTTTCTTTTCCATGCTTGGCAAGATGCCAGACCAGATGTACAGAAGATGCAGCTTTTCATGCCATAATTTCCAGTGGGGAAAAAATTGGCTGGTTACATTCAATGACTCAAAAACCAAACTGTTTACATTCCATCACTGCCAATTAGACCCCGAACTACTGCCAGTCATGATGAATGGATGCCCCCCCTTGAAGAGTGTTGTAGAGTGGTTTCACAGTGGAGGCTTGTATTTGTACTAAGTCTGTCCTAAAATAGGTTTGACGTACAAAACGTTAGGAACTTGATATAATAGGTAATGACACAGAGAAATCTAGTGGTGGTCGCTGATACTTTTAGTATCCGACTAACGGTCATCCGACATCGACTCACTGACCAACTCCCTGAGCAACTCACTGAGCGACTCACTGAGTGACTCCTGCTACTCCTACTTTTTATAGGTGGGAGAGTCTATTAACAATAGAATAGGTGTGTTCCACTATAACAAAGAGGCTCCATGCCTTGAGGAAATATTGGGCCTCAAGATTACATGTGATTTCAAGTGGAACTCCTATATACAATCTATCATTAAAGATGAAGGTAAAAGAATGGCTGCCTGTACCACTCCAATAAGTATCTGACTCTTTATGCTATCCTCTACCTTTACAAGTGCCAGATCAGGACAAAAGTAGAGAACTGTTGTCAAATGTAGGTGGAAGCTGCCCAGTCATCACTTTCCAGTCTTGATAGAGTTCAAAAGCATTTCCCAGTCCTTGTGGGAGAAGAATTATTTTCCACCCTCCAACCTCTCTCTCACAGACAGGATGTGGCGAGTCTCTCACTGCTTTGTCACTACTACTATGGAAAGTGCTCAGATGAACTACATACCTTGGTTCCACTAGACCCAACCTTCCTGGCTATGACCTGCCATGCCACTTACATAGTAGCAAACCACCCACATTCCCTCCATATTCCATTGGCAAGAAGTAAGTTCCACTCAAACAGCTTCTCACTAACCACTGCTCTGTGGAACAAGAAGATATTTCCTCAATCACTACAATGGTAACCTGATCAAGTCTAGAGTTAACCATTATCTTCCCCTCCTATCTATATAAACTACCTCTTAACATAACCCTCTACATCAAGTGGCTCCCAGGCCTTGTACAGGGTTAACATTACTGTAAAAAAAATAGCCCAAAAAAACGAAAGGAAAATCAAAGGATTTGCACCTAAGAAAAAAAGAAACTTTGAGTACATGTGCACTTGTCAAGTACATGAGTATAAATAAATAGTTTTATTCCAAACTATTTTCATGTGAGTTGGTTGTCATTTCATACAAAAAGAAACTTAAAATAAAACCTTCCACAGAGGTAAGTAAATTGTGTTGCCACAATTTTCTACATTGAAGTGGAATGCCAGCCATTTTACTCTGAAGACTGATATTTCAAATATCGGTCTTTACCTTACCACAAGCTCTGAGTACAGATACCAGAGATAAATATACAACTATATCAGTTTCATCATAAATAAATAGATAGATAGACAGATAGATACTGTAAAATATATTGAATATACATTGAAAGAGATTAATGATTTTGAACAAAAAGATAAAGAGATGATTTTATATAGATATTTTACTATATTTATTGTTTATACATTATTTTATAGATACAGATATTTAAGTAAATGTTCTGTTTATAATAAACAGTATTAACAACATTCACCAGTCTGAATGTCTGAGAAATTTTCATAGAAAATATTTGTCCTCATGCTTTCCCTTCACCCAGTCAATCTAGTATATCAGTATAAATTGTCACCATTTATTAAAAGCATTCAGTCTGAAGGGATGAATATATAAAGATATTCACAAAATAAATTATAACCAAACTGGATTTTTAAGATTTTCTTCTTCATTTATTATTATTAAGCTCTGTAGTTTACACCGAGCTCACTCTCTTAGACTTAAAGACCTTGGAGTCACAAATTGGTAATATATATATATATATACTAGCCGTAGAGCCCGGCGTTGCCCGGGGATGTAACAGTAAGAGATAGATCAAGTATCGACCATCATAAAGACTGAAAAATAAAATTGACAAAGATTATTGTTTAAGGTTGATGGACATGCATGTCTTAATTAGTCTTTTTTTTTTGTTTTGTTTTTGTTTTTTTTTACGAATTGGTCAAACCCAAACTCAAACAAAAACATTGTTTTCAATCATTATGAGTCTACCGATTGAATAGAATTTTTCAATTTTATTATAAACAATTGTCTTGTAAATGGAATTTTTAAAGCATTCTGAATGCAAAAATAAAGAAAAGAGTGTGCAAGACAATAAGAAACACTACCTGCCAAAAAAAAAGTGAAGTTTTGTTGAAATCGGTTGAAAAATGTAGGAAATCCAATCCCATATATAAACGAACACACACACAAACAACCTGGATTTTATAATAAGTATAACTCGATATTAGTTGTTCCCCTTTCATTCTCACGATGCCTCTTAATCATGTTTTCAAATTGATTTCGTGCAAAAACAATTTTTTTTTTCCATTTTTTGGCACTGTCAGAACCACCACAAAGTAATTTTACGTAGTCCTGTGAAGTTTTCTTGAAATCGGTTGAAAAATGTAGGAAATCTGATCCAATATATAAACGTACAGACACACACACACAACCTGGGTTTTATAATAAGTATGATATATATATATATATATATAAAATCATCCACAGACAGACTGTTTTGTTGTGTCACAGCTCATCAGTGTGGCTAGATATCCAATTGTTTCAAGCTGGGATTGAAACCCAACCAATTTGGCATCAGTCAGAGATTTTACCACTAAGCTATCATCACACGGCAGAGACAAAGAAAAATTTTAACGTTTTTACTTTACGAAAGACATCAGTGGCTAGGAGAGCTCAAATTATGAAATGGACTAAGTTCAACAATTATTTCAATATATTTTCTGTTTATACATTATTTTTATAGATACAAATATTTAAGTAAATGCTCTGTTTATAATAAACAGTATTAAATAACATTTACCGGCCTGAATGTCTGAGAAATTTCATAGAAAATAAGTGTCTTCCTGTTAGAGGACATATATTTTCTATGAAATTTCTCAGACATTCAAGCCACTAAATGTTGTTAAGATAGATAGATAGATAGATAGATAGATAGATAGATAGATAGATAGTGAAAAATATATTAAGATAGACTGAATGACATTAATGAGATTAATGATTTTGAACAAAGAGATAAATAGATGATTTTAGATAGATATGAAAAACAGAAACTGACTAAAATTAACAAAATCAGTTAGTTAATAGCAATTTTATCATGAAGATAGATAGATAGATAGATAGATAGATAGATAGATATGAAAAGACTGATAGATATATAGATAGATATGAAAAGATTTGTTTGACAGGAACACAATCTCAGAAATTGTGAAATAAGTTGAACAGAGATTGAAAGCAATCAAAAAAGTAATTGAAAACATTGTTAAGATGAGAAAAAGGAAAAAATACTTTAAGATTATTACAAAAAGAAATTTGACAAAAAATTTGAGATGATAGTGGACTGATTGCCTCGGAGACGTGGTTGACATCAGTGCAGTGTTGCAGTGTGCTGTCATCTGGGATCTTGCCATGGCTTTTATACTGGGAATTTAAGTCAAAGAGTTGCCCACCTGCAGTTTCATATTGGAAGTCATTTACCTACTTTTATATTTGTCCTCTTTAGTTTTGCTAAGGTATTAAAATGATGCTCTTATATTAACAACTAGCAGCATGGCCCAGCGTTGCCCGTGCTTGATTCAAAAATCGTACGACTCATACAGCAATCGCTATCACTTGACTTAAAATAGTTTTGCCCTTCCTTGCTTTTAAAGGAGTGCCTTTTGCCGTGCTGATGTTGCTACATGCCTTACTTCTTGCCTATCTCACACTGCAAATTTTTTCTAAGCTCTATACTAAACATTAAATCTGTTACGAAAAAAGAACTAAACAAAATGAACACAAAACGATCAGCTTTAAAAAAAGGACTCGTAACTGGAAAAACTGAATAAAAAAAGAATCTTAACAACAAATACTTTTTCACATCCAACCCAGTTCTGCGGAATCAGAATCAACGTTGAGTTTAAGCAAGCGAATGAGCCAATTGGAGTAAAGTGCCATGCAGATTTAAATTTTTCCCACTTATGATGAATGCAGCTATCGATTTTTTTTGCATGCTATCATGCTAGTTAACATTTGTGTCAGTCAGCTGTTGGCTCTCACGCTAGCCAATAGAATCTTCCTGCCCATTCGTGGCAGCCAGCTATAGGCTCTCACTCTGGCCAGTAGAAAATGGCCGCAAACTACATGAAAAGTGCCATAGAAGCATGAAAAATCGATTATTTCCACTATCGATGGGAGTTGGGAAATGCAAAATCGATCTTGGCCTTCCCACTAACCTGGAGCATGTGCATGTAAATTTTGGTGCAAATTCGTCGAAAATTGCGGCCGTGCATTCATTACACACACACACACACACACACACATCTTGCCTTTTATAGATAAAGATACTATTTTTTAATTTCATTCCTATCTCTCATTTAAATAGCCACATCTTCCACAAAATATCTCATAAATAAACTTGTAACCATAGAAATTACGATTGAGCCACTCCAAATAAATGGAAAAGGCAAATCCAAGGAACCAACCACCAACTTACACGCTTACTTCATCATAAAAGTATTGTTAGCAAAAAAAAATATACATGGATTTATCAGCAAAAAAATATTTGAAGCTGGTGTTGCAAATGTAAACACTAGATGAAAAAGACACAGAATATTAAGAACAATGACATAAAAGCAATCAAATTACTACCCTTAAATAAAAAGCACACAGAAAAAAAGTTTAAATTGCTTGAAGAAGTATCAGGTTTTCACAAAAGTTAGTGTCCGATCAGAAAATTAAAAACAAAATTTTGCATACTCCCAAAAAAATATTTATTAGTCAAGTACATAGTCTCCATTGTTTTTAACAACTGTCTCCCATCGTTCTAGAAGCTCGTTGATGCCATTTTCATAGAAACTTTGTGCTTTTTGTTGGGAGAAGGTTGTGAGATAGTTTTTGACTGACTGGACAGTCAAATCTTTTGGCATTTAAATTGTTCTGTCAAGACCAGAACAAATGAAAATCTGAAAGGAGTCATGTCAGGAGAATATGGTAGCTGCTAGAGGGTGCGATCCCATTTCAACACTTTAAGCTGCTGCAAGCTCTGCTTTGCAACATGTGGTCTTGCATTGTCGTGGTGGAAAATTTTGCCTTTTCAATTTGCTAAGACTGGATATTTAAGTCTCTTTAAATGATAAAAGGCAGTTGAGACATGACAAGCAGAGCATCTTCATTGATGTCGTAAGTTCACCCAGGGCACGGTTGATTATTTAGATTAAAATCACCCTGATGCAATGTGTCAAACCACTTTCTAACCATTCAAAGAGCTGGATCACAATCCCCAAAAAATACCTTCTGAATGTTTTTTTTTTTTGTTTTTTTCAGAGTTACAATGCTTCCTCCTTTCCAAAATACAAAGAGCATAATATAGCAAAAGTGCAACTTTTCATCCTCCATCTTTAAGGCATTCATTTGTGGACAAAATGTCAACATTCAACAAAGTTTGACTCTCAACTGAACGATGCAAGATTTCAATCTAAAACACACCAGAAATTGGCACTAAAACAAACACCAGTGTCAAGTTGTGGTCATTTTATATTAACAATGAAAATTGGGCACAAACTTTTGCAATGAGCTGATACATAAAAACTGATTTCCTTCATATTCTCCAAAGCTGACTATTGCCAAAAAAAAGGATTTCAAATACATCAAATTAATGAAATGGTCCATAGCATTGCGAGATATTAATCCAACAGAAAACATGGGGTGCATCACTAAGAGAGATGTATATGAGAATTGAAAATAATATTCAAGCAATGAAGATTTGGAGGAATCAATAAAAATGACTTCTTCAAATAAAGATAAAGAAATAAATATGTCCTGAAACATTTACTGAAACCAGTAGGTTCATATCAACTTTATTATGAAAACAGATAGATAGATAGATAGATAGATAGATAGATAGATAGATAGATAGATAGATAGATAGATAGATAGATAGGGAGGGAGAGGAAGGAATAAATAGAGAGAGAGAAAAATAAATAGATAGAGTGAGAGAGTGATAGATAGATAGATAGATATTTGAATAGAATAAAAGAGATAGGTATGAAATGACAAAGGTATATATATATATATATATAGGGTGAGAGAGTGAGACAGAGAGAGGGACAGGGAGAGAGAGAGAGAGAGAAACACAGAGTGAGACAGAGAGTAGACAGATACTGAAAAATACAGACTGAAATATATGATAGACACGAATAGAATTAAATACATAGATAGATAGATAGATAGATAGATAGATAGATAGATAGATAGATAGATAGATATTTGAACAGAATAAATGAGATAGGTATGAAATGACAAAGGTATATATATATATATATATATATATATATAGGGAGAGAGAGTGAGACAGAGAGAGAGAGAGACAGGGAGAGAGAGAGAGAAACACAGAGTGAGACAGAGAGTAGACAGATACTGAAAAATACAGACTGAAATATATGATAGACACGAATAGAATTAAATACACAGACAGATAGATAGATAGATAGATAGATAGATAGATAGATAGATAGATAGATAGATAGATAGAAAAATTAACAGACAGAAATAGTCATTATTGTTCTGGGGACACCCTATCTATCTATCTATCTATCTATCTATCTATCTATCTATAGAGATATGTGTTTGTGTGTGTGCGTTTTTGTTTGTGTATCTTATGGAGAGCTGAAAAAAAAAAAAAATATATATATATAGCTAGGAATAAGCATAATTTATATGGCATTTTAATGTATATTTTAAAAGCTAAAAAAACAACCGGTTTCATCCCAACCTTATCAATTTTATTTCTGAGATATAAAAAAATAAACGTGTAAATTTAATTGATATTAATGATAACCAATGGAGGGAAAAGAAAAAAAAATGAATTTCAAGAATGCTAGAGTCCAATAACATTCAGACCCAGTAAGTATTCCCTCTGTTTACATAATGGAGGGAAGGACATCCTTACAAATGGAAAAGAAAATAGGACGGGTAACAAATATTAACCGAACATTAGCCAAAAAATAACAACTATTAATCACACGCAAAATTCGCCTAGCTAAAGACTGACCCTCTGTTCAGGTAATATTTGTTACCCATCCTATTTTCTCTTCCATTCGTAAGGATGTCCTCTCCCTGTCCATCATATCAATTCAGTGATTTATAAATATAAGTGTAGGTTTGAACTCGACTACATAGGGAGGACGTCTCAACTTTTGGATCTGAGAATAAAGCAACACTTACCCACCAGGATTTTGAATCCAGATGTCAGGAAAAGTCACCTAATTAATACTTCTGGCTCTTCTATTGCAGAGCATGTTATAAATAGTAGGAATTGTGTTTTTAATTTCAGGGTTGACCGTTTTAATATTTTATTGAGGTCCCACTCCTCATATCACCTCAAGGTTCTAGATTCCTTGTATATCAGATCCTGTGGGCCTTCCTTTTGTAAACAGAGGGAATGCTTACTGGGTCTGAATTTTTTTTCTTTTCCCTCCATTAATATAGTTAAATTTACACATTTACTCTTTATATCCCAGAAATAAACTTGATAAGGCTGGGACGAAACCGGTTGTTTTTTTAGCTTTTAAAATATACATTAAAATGTCATATAAATTATGCTTATTCCTAGCTATCCTTAAATTTTATACTACAAAAACTTATTTATATATATATATATATATATATATATATAGAGATAGATAGATAGATAGATAGATAGATAGATAGATAGATCACTCTAAATGTTATTTTTAGTAGATACTCATATTTGAGTAGACATTCCATTTATCTATTAAACAGTATATTTATTTATTTTTGTCTATCAGCCTGAATGTTCAAGACATCTTATTAAAGAAATATTTAAATAAATAGATATGAGCAGGAGATAGATAGATAGATAGATAGATAGATAGATAGATATGAACAATTTGAGACAGAGATGAACCAAGATACATAATTGCCATTGATAAAGTAGACAAAATGACAGGTGGATATTTCTGCCGCTGTATTGGATTTGTTCATTTTATTTACCAGTGCAACTCTGATTACTTCACAATTCAAATATAGATTTTTTTTTTTCAAAGAAACAATCTTGCAGGCATTGTGTGCGTAAAGCATTTGGCTGGTTCAACTGATTTCTTTATAAATGAAATGGTAGATATATAGAACTGGAAGTGTGACGGTCTGGTTGGTAACAAGGAAAACATGAGTATATTTTTTTTCTTCAGAACCTCCAATGCCTGCAGATAATGCAGATTTGCATGAGAATTTTTCATTTGTGGCAGAGGGAAAATTCTTTTGCTTTTATCCAATATTTCAACTCTGATAATTTGACGAAATCATAGAAACATTTCGACAGAACAAACTGTTGTACATTTATTAGGCATTTGCACATTGAGATGAATAGATAGATAGATAAACACATATATACACACATAGATAGATATGAGGAGAATGAGATAGATAGACAGACATGATCAGAATATGATAGATAGATAGATAAATAGATAGATAGATAGATACTAAGGACAATTTTTAAACACCCTTACTAAGATTATTTGAAAAATTAATAAAAAGATTAATCAAATTTTCCTTGTCTGTCATATTGAATGAAACCTCTCACATATATATATATATATATATATATATAGTTGGATTGGTGTGAGTTTGTGACCCTGGGTTTCATGCTATTTGTGATCATCAGACAAACTGATTAATTTTTAAATTTTGGTTTTATTTTTGGTTGCGTATATTGGTGTTTTTATGGTGGTGGGAGGAAAAATTGTTGTTGGAATGCCACTCATATGTGCGCAAACATACACACACACACGTTAACTCATTGATATACGCAGACATATATACACGCACGCACGCTCACTCACACAAACATATATGAACAGTGTGGGGCTGGGCATGCATGCGCATCCATGTGTTGTTGCGTACATACATATGCAATTGGTTGTATTAAATGTTGGATTGTGTAGTAGACATCTTTTGTCAGTTGCAGTGTCAAACCGCAGATCATTCATCTATTTTGTTTGCCAAATAATGTTTTCTCACACACATGTATATATGTATGCACACACATTCACACAGTTAATATATAAATAATATATATAAAAAATTGCACATATATATATAGATATATATTTATATTTATATATATACACATTTATATATACTTCAATCCCCCACAGGTTGAGCACTCGCACTGTTCTTTTTTAAAAAAATGGATAAGTTTGACCTGGGATACTCACTGAAAAACATCCCTATACCCACCCAATCTTCGTATAAACTTCAACTAACAGAGAAAGTTGAAAGTATCATAAGAAGGATGAGATGGAAAGCATACTTCTTCCTCAACGACCCAAAAAATAACAACACTGAAAAGCCCAAGACATTTGACTTCAATACAAGAAAATACCCACCAAAATGTAAAGAAATGCTAAGATTCGAGGAGGACATGACAAAGATAGTCAGAAACTTGAAGTTCAAAAAACACCTGGACAATTTCCAGAAGAAAATTATAGAAGACAAGAAAAAAAATAATGAACACCAATAAGGTATTCATATTGGCTGACAAGACTAGGAACATATACACAATGGAACCTACAGCCTACAATAACCTCATAACTAACAATATCACACAATTATACAAAAAGACAACCGTGAACACAAAAAACATGATAAACCAAGAAGCTAAAGATATAGCCGTCAAACTAAAAATAGATGAAAGGATAAACTGTATAGCCAAACAACAAGCTTTCATGACAGCAAAAGACCACAAAACCAACTTTGTGTAAAAACTCACATTCAACCTAATAAACCCCACCAAATGTGAAATAGGAAAAATCAGCAAAAACATATTAGAAGCTATCAACAAGAAGCTAAGGGAAAAATTAGGACTTGGAATGGGAAAATACCAAAGCTGTCACAAACTAGTTTACAGCTATAAAAAACAAAGCTACTTTCATCCAATTTGACATAGTGAATTTCTACCCATCCATCATGGAAAACATATTGAATGATGCTATACAACTAGCACAACAACATATAAAAATTACAGACAATTATATTAAAATAATCAAGCACTGCCGTAAATCTCTGTTGTTCCACAATAATGAACCATGGGCAAAAAAAACAAAATCACAACCTATTTGATGTAACAATGGGTAGCTACGATGGAGGTTGATATGTGATTTAGTAGGAATACTCATCCTCTTATATCTAGCCAGGATCCAAGAGAAAAAAGACATGGGACTATTTAGATATCACAAACTTATCCTGATAAGAGAACCCAATGGCCCCAAATTAGACAGATTTAGGGAAAAAAATAGTAAATGCCCTAAAAACAATTGGATTTGAAATAGAAATAAATGCAGGTACAAAAACAGTAAATTTCTTAGACATCACTCTCAACCTGAACAAAAACACAAACAAACCATACAAAAAAGATAATGTCACCCCAACTTACATTCACACATCCTCCAAACACCCACCTTCAATCATCAAGCAAATACCCATATCAATCAGCCACAGGCTGAAAATTCATCAAACATAGACATTTTCAATAACAAGAAAACACCATATGATGAAGCACTAAAAAACATGGATATACACAACAACTACAATATACACCTCCACAAATGAAGCACAAAACAGAAGAAGAAACATTTTACCCACCATACAACAAAACTGTCTAAACAAACATAGGAAGCACATTCCTAAAATTAATAGAAAAGCACTTCCCTGAAACAAACAGATTATCAAAAATATTCAACAAAAATAACATTAAAATCAGTTACAGCTGCACAAAAAATATAACACAAATAAATAAAATGCCACAACAAAAAAGTAACACCCTGCAATAATGCAACCAAGGAACCTTAAAGCAACTGCAGAAATAAAACAACATGTCCACTCCAAGGAAACTGCCAACAACTGAATATAATATATAGAGCCAAAGTAAGTGCAAACAACAGCACAATGTACCACATCGAGGTGACTGAGGGACCATTCAAGAAAAGAAAAAACAACCATGACCTTTCATTCTCTGACAGAAAATACTCAAACAGCACTACACTACCCACATACATATGGCATCTACAAGACATAAATATTACACCAAGAATAAGCTGGAAAATATTGAAAAACGCACCTGCCTATAACAAAATGACAAAGAAATGCCTACTTTGCCTACATGGAAAGGTAGGAATAATTACTTATACCTAACAAAAGAAAGCACTAAACATAAGAACAGAAATAATTTCCCAATGCAGACATGAAAACAAATACCTATTATCACAATTTATACCAAACGGATAAAAAAAAATACCAACTATTACTACCACATCACAATTATCATTGCCGCATTAGTCCACAATTACTACCACACAATTACTAACATTACTATATCAATCTACAATTATACTTACTTCCCCCCCAGAAAAATTAATACCACTGCATAAATACTAATAAGCATTATAAGTTGTAGTTTCTACCATTTACACATGCACAATCACCAAAAACAAGCAAATAACCTGCTTTAAAATAATAACAAAACAGCATTAACAAAAATGAAAAATAATAGCAATTTTACCTACCAGAGTCTTACACAGACGCCATCATAAAAAAAACTAAAAGAAAGAAAAAAAACAGATGGATAGAAGATGTGTGAACACGTGTGCATATGTTTATACATGTGTGTAAGAATACAAAATAGACGAACGATCTATATGTTGACACTGCAACTGATAAAAGATGTTCGCTACACAATCCAACATTCAATACAGCAACCAACTGTATGCATATGTACGCAATGACACATGGATGCACATGTATGCTCAGTCCCACACTGTTCATATATGTTTATGTTTGTGTAGGTGAGCATGCGTGTATGTATGTGTACATCAATGAGTGAACGTGCGTGTATGTATGTTTGCGTACGCATGAGTGGCATTCCAATGGCAATTTTTCCTCCCACCACCATAAAAACACCAATATACACAACCATATATAAATCCAAAATTTAAAAATCAATCACTTTGTCTGATAGCATGAAACCCAGGGTCACAAACTCACACCAATCCAACTAAATATGTTAGCATTATCACTGATATTGAGCACTTTCCAATAAGTACCGCGCATATATAATATATAAATATATATTGCATATATATATATATATATATTATATTATATACATACATTTTTTATATATATATATATATATATATATATATATATATATATATATGATGTACTTTCCCGCCAGTTTTGAAATATGAGGATCTGACAACAACCTCATTCAGTTTTTGTTTGTGCCGTATGGAACACTTCAGTCCTTTCAGTGACCTGCATACAAGCACACATATTGTACAACAGCAAGGATCTTGGGACATAGCAACAGGAATATTTGCTAACACTTTTTGCTGTCATCTTTCATCTCTTAGCCAATCAATACCACTGATTTCAAAATTTCTGATACAACTCTGGCACAAATATTTCACAGTTATTCCTATCTATTGCAAATATATATATATATATATATTAAGAAATGGACAAAGTCCGACAATTTATTTATTAAAGACATTTTTATGTTTAAGATTCTTTTTTATAGATACAAGTATTTAAGTAAATGCTCTGTTTATAATAAACAGTATTAAATAACATTTCCCTGCCTGAATGTCCGAGAAATTTTGATAGAAAATATTCGTCCTTTGTCAGGATTTGAATCTGCATCCTATACGTAACCGTCATTTACGCTGACGTGCCTAACCTCTCGGACACAAATGTAAATGTTATTTAATACTGTTTATTTTAAACAGAGCATTTACTTAAATACTTGTATCTATAAAAAAGAACGTTAAACATAAAAATGTCTTTAATATATATATATATATATATATATATATATAAACTAGCATAAAATCGGGAGGCATTTAAGCTAGGTCCTGCAGAGGGCACTTTATTAGGCTTTTATCACAATAGGTAGGAAGGAGTAGATGTGATAGGCAACAATAAACAAGAGAACTCAAAATTGATCTCTGCATTTAAATATTGATTAATATTTATCTTTTAAAAGTTCAACAATAGTTATTTACTGGCAGGATACTTGCATAATAAGCAAAAGGTCTTCTATTTTAGGCACATTTCTGGCCTTCTATCATTTAATCAATCCGACTCTTTTTTTTCCATTCAGTACTTTGTCCATTTGATACTTAATCCATCTGAAACTTTGTCATTCAACACAGTCTACACACATTTAAAACATGGCCAACCCTTCAGTGCAGCCACTGACTCTGGATACACAGAGCAAATGTCCCTTATTGCCTGTGTTGAATTACTGAATTAAATTCAACTGACAAAAGATGTTCGCTACACAATTGTGAATATGATACTCATAAAAATGTTTCTCACTCAAACCATTAAATGTTACCCTAAATACTAAACTATGTACAACATGATAGAACAAGTTACATGCTTTTCTATTTGGGGCAGCATGCTCATCTTGGTTGTTATA